ATTGAGTCGCCGCCTCAGGCTGATATATGCGGTATACAAATAGAGTAAATAAATAAATAAATAAATAAATGAGGTCTCTTCCAACTCTTTGATTCTATGATTCTATGATTAATAATAATAGTTTTAAGCTGCTGGGCCAGGAAGACGTTTAGCTGGGTTAAGACAAGCCATTTTAAAGCGTTTTAAAGACTGGATTCCTGTAAGTGCTGACTCCATTCTGACTTCGGATTGTTCTTGGATGGACATCTCATTCTGACTTAATCTTCTGTTTTTGGATGTGCTATGGGCTTGGGACTGTTTTTTGATAATTAATATAATATATATAGTTGTTGTTAGTTTTATCACACCAACAGTCAACAACAGAGGGAGAGGGAAGCTTCAGAAGTTCCCCCTGTCCCGTTTGGAGGTTTTTTTCGCGTATTGCGCAATCGTGTCCGCCATTAACGAATCGATTCGTATATTTACAAAATTTCGTAAATATCAAAAATTTTAAATTTGAAATTTCGGAAATTCTCTCAGATTAGAAACGCGGGCGCCCCCTAGATACGAAACGAGTTTAGAACCAATTTTTTTCTTGATCAACCAAGCCTAATAGATAGATAGAGATTAACGATGAACTTCAATGCTGTTCATCAAAATCGAATGCTTGCATTTGACCCCACTGTCCAAACAGCAAGAAACTGAATCTCCCCATGTCGATTGGCCTCCTTTTACACACAAACACACCAGAGTTTTCCCAGTGGAATTTTAATTGAATTAAGGGTGGATGGAGGCTCTGCCCCTTCCTTTCTTTCTCTTTCACTCCGAGGCCAGGCAGACAATGCTGCCTCTTGTTTGCAGAACATTCCTGCCCTCCTTTCCAAAGAGGAATCAAACATCAAGCCAACCAAGAAATGGGCTGAATGACCGAGTTTTGCTCCTCCGGGCAAGCAAAAAAGAGGGTTTTTTCCCCTCACTTGTACTGAACGTATGGAATAGGTGTCATCAAAGCAAAGAAAACCACACAGTGTTACATTCATTTCCTCATGGAAGCACATAATCTCTTGACCTGGCCTACCTCGCAAGGTTGCTATGCCGAAAAGGTTGCATCCTTTTTGACATATCTGCCACTCAGTCCCCGAAATGGGATCTGTGAATACTGGGAGATGTGGAATTGAGACGGTGAAAAGAATGACTGGAGAAATACCAGGAAGGGAAAGATTTAGCCCTCTCCCTCCTGCTGAGTTCATAGTTTTGCTCTTTGTAGCAACAAAGGTCAGCTGAGGACAAAGGTGGGAGGAGGAGAAACTGGGATGTTTTAAAAGCAGTTTTAAAAGTGGGAAGGCAGAGGAATAATAATAATAATAATAATAATAATAATAATAATAATAATAATTAATAGAGGTGTGCAAAGCACCTGAAATGCTATTAGTACATTCATTTTGGAATTCTGGATGGCCCCCGCTTGGTTGCGTAAAGATTCGGTGGGGACCCATTTCGTAATGTTTTTGTTCAGATTCGGTCCATTAGCAGCAATGGGAAACATTTCAAGGCTCCTTTCGCCATCATTTTTATGTCAATCAGGATAAAACTTGTCAAACTTGTAGGCAACCTTTATGACTTTAAGCCTGCCAAGTTTCAGAATGTTTTGATCATCCACTGATTTTTTAGGAATTTTCAAAAGTTTTTACAAATAAAACGAGACCAGCTTTGCGGAAAGCAGTGTGATTGGCTGACAAAGAAAAGCAGCTGCCATTGTCTATTACATTACCACAAACAATTACGGAGTATGTTACATTGGAACCACAGCTTGAAATGCTCCAAAACAACTAATTTTGACTAAAGTCTTCAAAACGTTTCGTAATGCCTTGGAGAGGGTCCTGTTCCGATCAGTAATTCGGAGATTTGTATTAACGAATCATCCAAATCTCTGACTTATGAAACTGACCTCTGAAGCTTTGCACAGCCCTATTATTTAATCATCTCCAATGCAAATACAATGCCAGTGTAAGGTCCGATTTCCAAATGAGTTCCAGAGGTCGCCCAACATGCAGCATATCGTAGAAATCCAACCTTATGGTGATCATCTGGAGCAAAGGAAAGGAGATTCCACTTGAATATTAGGAAGAACTTCCTCACTGTTAGAGCTGTTCTGCTTCGGAGTCTGATGGAAGCTCCTTCTTTGGCAGCTTTGAAACAGAGGCTGGATGACCATCTGTCGGGGGTGCTTTGATTGTGCTTTTCCTACATGGCAGAATGGGGTTGCACTAGAAGGCCCATGTGGTTTCTTCCTACACTATTATTACTATTATTATTAATATTAATACTATTGAGGCTGGATGGCTATCTGTCAGGGGTACTTTGATTGTGCTTTTGCTGCATGGCAGAAAGGAGTTTGACTAGATGGCCCTTGAGGTCTCTTCCAACTGTTGGATTCTATAATTCTGTGGTTGTTGTTGTTGTTGTTGTTAAACAGAGCCTGGATGGCCATCTATCGGGGTGCTTTCATGGTGCTTTTCCTGCTGGCAGAAGGGAGTTGGACTAGATGGCCTCTAGGGTCTCTCCCAACTCTGTGATTCGATGATCTTTTGGTCTTCCCATTCAAAGAAGGAACCCAGCCAAAGCTGGGCATGGCAACAGTGGCCTTTCCGCTGAACTTTTCCAGACCTCCAGTGCCTCGTTCCCTTTCTCCCGGGACCAGGCCAGCGCTGGAAGGTGTTTTGTCCGGCTCATCTGAGCTTGGCCCTCCTGCCGGTCCCAAAACAATCCCCTCCTTTGTGCCTCAACCAAGGAGCATCGGAAATCTGGCAAGCGAGAGGGACATTGGAAGATGCCGGCTTCCCTCCAAGGGCGACACAGTTCCTGTCTACCAGGAATGCATTAGACAGGAGGCTTGGGGCTATGAACTTTAGCATTGTCTTATCATAGAATCACGGATTTGGAAAGGATCATAGTGCAGTCCAAACTTCTGCCGTTCAGGAAGACACAATCCAATTCCTCCCAACAGAAGGCCATCCAGCCTCTGCTTAAAAACCTTCAGAGGAGATATATCCTTTCAAATATATAAACATGGATTTCCTCAGAGTTCATAGTTTCCAGACCTTGGATTCTTTTGGTCAGCCTTCTTTGGACTCTTTCCATTTTGTCCATATCCTTGTTGGATTGTGTTGTCCAGAACTGGACACAGGATTATTATTATTAGGGCTGTGCAAATCTTTGGAGGTCTGTTTCATAATTTGGAGATTTGTATGATTCGTTAATACAAATCTCCAAATTACTAATGGGACCCCCCTCCAAAACATCACGAAACAGCCTCTGAAACATTTCAGAGAGATTAGCAAAGATTTGTTGTTTTGGAGCATTTCAAACTGAGTTTTTTCAATGTAACATACTCCATAATTGTCTGAGGTGCAAGGGGGCTGATGTGATTATTGACAACGGCAGCTGCATGCTGTTTTATTTTTTTCCTTGTCAGCCAATCACCTCTCTTGTAGTTTGAAGCCATTCCGCAAACTGGTCTCCTTCTGGAATGTGTCCAGAGGAGGGCGACTAAAATGATCAAGGGTCTGGAGAACAAGCCCTATGAGGAG